CATCTTCGTGAAGTAGCTGTTCAAATGATCTTCTGGGTCGGCCACTCCATCGTAACTGGGTAACGGAGGGATCGTGGTTCCCGCCGGCTCCATAAGAATGCTTCGTGCCAGGGGTTGCCGGACGCCGAACCGCTTGGCCATCCTCCTGGCGCCCATACGTCATCAGGTCCCGCCTGTGTGTGCTCATCGGGCGGCCTCCAGACACGCGGGCGCCCAGGCATGTCATGTCCCTGATCGGTGTGATGCGGGAGTCCGTATTGCAGGGACTCCGAGTCTTCCCCTACCCTTTCCCGTTTTCTCACTCCTGGGCTGTACATCATCATGTCTTCACTTTGCTCCCCTTCCAACTCCCTCCTGAGCGCCGCTATGGCCCGATCTTGGTCAGCTATGATTCGGAACAGCTCTCTCTTCGTCAAGGATTCCCCCTCATCCGCTGACAGGCGCCCAGGGCTCCCTTGCCCTTCCACATCCATGCTCAACTCCTGGCTTAGTTGACGCCCGCCTTCCTCATGATTCGAGTTCCCCGACTTCGAATTATCCTCCCCCTCGTTTCCGTCGTTGTTCATGTTTTCCATGCGCCCCCTTCCTGGCGTGCCAATTGTTAGAGCCAAGTACTCCCCGGTCCCACCTCTCTGGGCCCCCGACTGACGAGCTCCTTTGGGGCGCCTAGACCCTGCACAGACAAGCGCCTAAAGGGCTTTCGGATGCCCGTTAGCACTCCAACGCTCAAGTCAGTGCCGAATTTAGAGAGATAAGTGTTAAAAGAGATTTTAGTGAGAGAAGCCAACCTGCGTAAATGCCACCTACCAGACACTATTTATACTTGATCACGAGATCCCGACCAGGCTCTTGGAGTTCAGCCCCACGTCAGCACATCATTAAATGCTCAATGCGGCCCAACGATTGGGCGCTTACACGTGGCGGCACCTGGGCTCCTAAGCATGTGCGCCTATGGGGACCACACTGCCAGGTGGCACGCCCTCAGCTTCCAGGCATCTGAGATGCGCGGTCCCCGCCCTAGTTGTGTCGTCATGTAGCTGCTTACTCCTGCGTGGGCCTGACTTCTACTTCTACATGCCCTGGTTCCCTAGCGGGCTTGGGCCCATGCCCTGTCTATAAGCCCATGTCCCCCAATAGTTCCTTTATGCTTATCCAACAGTATTGCTCGCTGGAAGCACTCCCTGGTAGGTCAATTTTTTAATACCTCTCCCCATTTTCGGCAATTCAATATTGGTAGAATAAGCTTTGGGACATGAGAGGTCCAGTTAGGGATTTTTGGCTAGGGAAAAGGCTAATTCTGCTTCAGTTTCCCCATATGAGATAGCTAACCGGGTGTTCAAGAGTGGCCCATGGCATATTGACCATGATATGTGCTTCAGAAGGAAATGGGAACCAGGGATTCAAGTTGAAAAATCTAGGTCAGAAGTACTGATCTAGATATGATTTCTTGATCTTCTAATCGAGTATATTACAGGGAAAATTTTAACAAGATTAGCTAGTAGATTGGGGAATCCACTTTGGTTTGACCAATTTACAAGAACTTGTAGGAGGTTGGGTTACCCTAAGGTGTGTGTAGAGATGACCAATGCAGTCAAAATCGATATTTTAAGTAAAATTGAAAACTGAGGAAGAATAAGAATCGTAGATTAAAATCGTAAAATCGTAAGATTTTTAAGGTTCATATTAAAATAAACACTTAAAACACCATATAGTAATAAAAATGCATATCCTGGATAACAATCAACCACATATAACAAAATTACTTCCCAAGATAATTTTGTTTGCTAAATAAACACAACTAAATCCATATAAATATTCTTGTACATAATATAAACACACAAATAAGCAACCTGAAACCTCATAGAAATCACTTAATTAATAGTTAAGAGTAGAAAATCACATAAGATCGTTAGGATCAACATCACTTATACATCGCCATCATCATCCTTGAAGTACTTTCACCATTAACCATATTTGCTTGATCACCATCATCTGGCAAAGATAACTCATTGATTGATGCATTGTCTTCTTAGTTGATAAAAGGTCCAGGGTAGTTGTGCTGAAGGATTGAGAGTTGAAAGTTTGAAATGGAATGAATATTTTGATTATTGTGAGGGTGTGGGAATAAACTACAAGCTAATTGGGAGGGTGGTAGATATCTTTGATGGAAGGAGTTGGGCGACGACGTTCGAAAGATGAATATACAAGAAAGAGAATGAAAATAAATTGAGGATTATCTATTGGGTTAGGGCTGTGTTGTTCATTAGTTGGGTCGGAGGAAGTAAACTTGACTCGGTTTTTGGACAAAACCCGACTTGACCGGCCTAATTTTGCTCCAATTGATATGAAACTTGAAATCGTACAAAGAGACTTGACAGGATTCTGGTGAATTGTGATTGGCTTACTGTCTATAATCATAGCTCACTTAAGATTCTGCCACTAAGTCTCTCATATTATTATGGGTTGTTATTATAGTCTGATGCAAGATTACAGTCATTACCAAAATCTTTCAAATACTTCACCTATTGGAAGCTTCATCGTGACTATGACCAATTAGTTAGAGAAGGTTGGAATCAAGTTGCATTAGGGACATATATGTTTTGTGTCTATCAGAAGTTGGAATCTTTCCTGTTTGGTGAGGCACATCTGGGCAATTCTTAGTGACAAACAAACTCTATGGGAGGCATGGTTGAAGGAATATTGATTGAGGAATCTAAGCATATGGCATATTCAAAGAAAAGGATCTTGAGTGCGGAATAATGTGATAAAATTAAATCCAAAGTGAGGGCATCCTTTACTGTATATGGGAATGAAGTTACATGGAAGAATCAACCTATGCCAGAGTATAAAATCCAGCAGGTTAGAGAGTTATTTAGACCAAAAAGAGGGAAGGTTGCTTGGTTTGGTCTGGCATGGAACCAGTATTCTATTCCTATGAATTCCTTAATAATATGGATTGTTTAGTTAGACATATATATCAGCATATTAGATAAAGTTCATAAATGGAAACCATATATAAATGGAGATTGTCCATTGTGTATGAGGGATCTACAATCTAGAGTTCATTTGTTTTTTAAATGTGATTATGCAAAACAAGTATGGTGGTCTGTGTTTGTAGGTGAGAGAGGATATCTCCCAGTTAGTTATTGACAGGAGGGAGTTGAGATGGTTTTATAGAGTTTAGTTCTGATTCTATAGGGCTATTTTCACGGACATTGGTGGTAAGTGAGATTTGGAAGGAAAGATGCAGGCGTGTCTTTGGAAAGAAGGAGTTACGAGTTGGAGATTTGGTGGAGAAAATGAAGGAAACACTAAGGTTGAAAAGCTTAGGATTTCCTATCTTTGCAGTTGAACTGGCAGCTTCTTTATATGGGAGATATCAGATATGTTAGTGTATGAGATGTAGAATTGTCTTGTAGTAGTTTACAACGTTGGAGATATGTTAGTGTATGAGATGTAGAATTGTCTTGTAGTAGTTTTAGATGCATTGCTTGTTTTTGTATTGATGTACTGATGTTTAGGGTGTTTTATCATATTGATGCAATAAAAATATTTTATGCATAAAAATAAAAATAAACAAGGCAGGTGCGTATAGTTGTGGTAGTACAATAAGGCAAGGTGCGTGAGAAAGGAAAGGGAATCGTTGGGATGAGATAGCATGCCTACCCATAAAAGGGTTGGAAAAATGACACCCCCTATTAATTATAGGTTTTTAAGGTAATTAATTTGTGTTGCATTTAATAATCTGTATGAATTAAAAACACATATTAATTACTTTCCTTTTTCAGTGCACTGGTAGTTGTATCAGTGCACTGGTAGTTGTGTACAGGTGCAATGGTAGATGTATCAGTGCAATGGTAGTTCCAAAAAAGGAACGTAATTAATACGAGTTCAGTATACATGTGCAATGGTAGTTGTATAAGTACAATGGTAGTTAAAAAAAGGAATGTAATTAAGATGAGTTTTTAATTTCCAAATATTATTAAATGCAACACGAATTTAATACAAAAAATAACTATAATTAATAGGGGTGTCATTTTTCCAACCCCTTAGAAGGGTTAGCATGCTAACCGATCCCGGAATCGTTTCCTAGATAAAATGATATTCCTATAGGCGTGCAAAATAAAGAAGAAAAAAACAATGTCGTGGAAGCTGGAAGCGCGAAAATGGTTAAATTACAAGTTTGGTCAGTCAAATTACATAAATCCTTCATGTTTGCTTCCCGGATTACTTTTCTTTATTATTATTCATTAACTTTACGAATCAACGTTACTCACCGACCATTAATCTCCGTCATAATCCATTAACTTCATAAGTTGTTTTATGACATGGCAAATAAAATTGCTTACTAGACCGTTAACTTAATGACATGTCAATTAAAATAATAAAAATAAAATTTTACCCCAAGATCGTTCGCGACAGATAGTGATGACATGCAGTGCCAATTTCCCTATCCCTCCTTTCAGAAGCATACCTAACAAGAAACAACAACAGCAACAACTCTATGAGAGGAGGAGCAACATCTTCAAACACCACAGTCTCAAGATCAACACTCTACTTCCGGGCACCGGCCGTTTTAGCTTTCATTCCAATCTCATCTCCAATGCAGTCAAAAGCGCGATTTTACCTAGAAGCGGAAAAGGGGTAAAATCGTAAAGCGTAGAATCGAAGCGTAAAAGCGTAAGTTTTTTAGGCATCCTGTAAAATAGCTAAAAATTTGCTAAGTGCGACATGTGTTGTATAAAATGTTACTGTATAAATTATATAGAAATGAATAACTACCTGCAATAAATCATGATTGATATCATCTTAAGCATAAGTTGATAAACATACATCATAAGCAACTCATAAACGACATAGTCACACAGATATCATCTTAAAAATCCAACAAGCTGGTTTAAGTTTACATAATGACACAAGTTTAATAATCCAAATTCTTGAAATTGAAATGAAAGCACACAAAAGTTCGAAATGATAGAAAGAAAACTACATTAAATCATCGCCTTCAACATTGGCATCCAATTCATCATTATCATCATCGTCATCGCCATCATCAAATGGATTATCAAATCCGCGGTCACCATCAACACGAATAGCATCGCCACCATCACCATCAACATGAATAGCATCATCACCTCCATCCTCACCAATAGAAATAGTAGGACCAATTTCAACAGCATGATGACCTTCCTAACCACCATCAACTCCTAAAGCTTCAGTTTGTGATGTTTCTTCTTCAGTGTCACTACCACAAATCCATTCATTCTCGGAGTCTATATCCTCAAAATCAATTTCAAGCCTTCTTGCTTTCTTGACATTACTTCCCACCAACTTGTTGTTGCACATGACATACACAAGATCATTCATCTTTTGTGTTTGAAGGCTGTTCTTTTTCTTAGTATGAATCTAAAAAAAAAAAAGTTAACATGTAAAAATAATGAATGACAAACAAACCAAACTTGTAAACTTATAACCAACAAACATGATAATTGATATCATTTAAATAAAGTAGAGGCAATTTGTTACTTACCCTCTCAAATGCACTCCAATTGCGCTCACACCCAGAAGCACTACAAGTCAAACTCAACACTCGGATGGCAAATTTTTGAAGCTCTGGCACTTCATCTCCAAATGAAGTCCACCAATCAGCAGGATGATGCCTATCCTTTAAGGTCATTGCACCATATTTGTCAAACATGCCTTGAGCATGAAGAAATACATGCAACTGTTCCATAATCCTAAACTTCTCTTCATCATCCTTTGCAACTCTACTCACACATTCATACAAAGCTACTTTCACCTTTGGATCATTATAGTTAAATCCCATACCATGAGAATGGTGAATTTGGGGATTCAACCAATATGCAGCATAGTGAAAGGGCCTACTCATTTGATCTTCCCACCTTTTGTCAATTATCTTCAAGATAGGTTTATATCTACATAAAAGACAATAAATTCACAACTTAAAATAATAAAAAACATAGAGATTTGTCTCATAATATAAGAAAACTAATTTTGAAAAATTACCTTTTTCCACATTGTTGAAGTTGCTCTTAATCTTCTCCTTTGCTTGGATCATCTCAAAGTATAAGAAAGGCATTGCTGGTTTTTCATCAGAATCAACCAAGCATAGAACCTTGACTAGAGGTTGAGAAGCTCTAAGGCAAATTGACACATCTTGCCAAAATCTGCCATCAAGTACTATCGCTTGAACTCTTTTCCCTTCCCGAAGCTTAGCAAAGCCGCTCTTCCTCCACTTGTCAGAAGAGAACATTCTCATCAAGGAACCTTTGTTGTCATGGAGAGATGCCAATGTCAAATATGATGTAGCGAATCTAGTAACTGCAGGTCTAACCAAATCTTTCCCTTCAGTGAACCCCCTCATCATGGCAATCAACATTGTTCTGACATAAATAAATTTTGTGATCTTTTTACCCTTCCCAATTGTAGTCTTGTGCACCTTAATATTCTTCTCAAAATCCTCCAACATCAAATCCAAGCAATGGGCTGCACATGGTGTCCAAAACAAATGCTTCCTCTTCTCCATCAACATTTGTCCTGTTGCCTTATAAGCTGAACACAATTTGAACAACATTCTCTTCTCCAACCTTCTCAACAACTTTATCCAACATCTCAAACACCTTCTCAGCAGTCTTTGAAATCTCAGAAGTGTCAACAGCCTCAAGAAATACAGTTCCACGAGGACTATTAACCAAAAAGTTACAAAGAACTCTTCTTTTCTTATCTGTCCATCCATCAGACATTATAGTGCATCCCACCGCCTTCCATTCAGATTTAAACACCTGCAATTTACTCTCCACTTCCTTCAGTTCTTCTTTCAGATAAGTCTCCCTAATCTCATGATATGAAGGAGGCTTAAAACCAGGACCATGTCGAGCTACATCTTCCCACATCTGGTTATATTTAGAACTTCTAGTTGCATTGAATGCAAGTGCATTTTCATACCACCATTGTGATATTGTCTTGCAAGCCTTTTCTCGGAGATCTTTCTTCAAAAGTGCACTTATTGTTTTTTGTTTACTACTGCCACTACCTCCAGCCACATTTGAATAAACTGAATCCCGATTTGGAACATCACTATCATCTACATTCCCACCAAGACCAAGATCATGCAGCTTCCTTGTCTTAGCCTCCTTCCCTTCTTCATTCAGATGGAGTAGCTCTCGCATTTTTGCCCTCACTTCATCTGGAACACTAACACAAGCCACAGAATCCTTTCTTGTTCCTGCAAGATGATGCTTGAATCGGGAAATACCACATACTTCCTTGTCACAGTAATTGCACCTCACTTTCTGCCCAGTGCCAAGTACATCTACACCATGCTGCCAACCGGGATCATTACGATTTCCCGGTGCATTTTTCCTCTTTGCTTTACTATTTGCCACAGAATTACTTGCACTAGTACCGGCACCACCGCTCGACATTAGTACAATTCTGCAAAAAGAAAACAGACGTTCAAATCCAATCTGATTCTGTGGCATTCTATTGCATTCAACATGGAAACTGGAAAGAATTCTCCTCGATTTATAGAGATACCAAGTTACCAACTTTACTTTGTATATCCATGCCACATCTAATCATTCATTTCTAAGTTTAAATATGGCATCTTTTTAGTTATTACATATGGATCTTAGCATTAAAAATCAACAATCACAGTTTAATCTTCAAAGTCCAAACTACAGATCCTTCCTTACAACTTCTTCTGATGGGTTTTTGTAAAATTAACCAATCTTCTCCATAACTAATCAAGCCACAAATCAACATTCAACAGAAAGCCACAAATCAACAGCAAAAGTCTCAAATCAACAGAAAAATGCAAACAAAAAGAAAGAAAGAAAGACTTACGAGCAGCCTGCAGATCATGATGAGGCTGACGGGAGAAGGCGAGTAGCTGATGGCGCCGCCGCGCCGGAAAGGTTGAAGGGGAAGGAGGAGTGGAGGACGACGGCGCCGCTCGGTTTGTGGGAGAAGGAGGTCGCCGTTGATGGGTTGTGGGAGAAGGAAGAAGGCGCCGCCGGCGCCGCTGGGTTGTGGAAGAAGGAGTCCGCCGGCGCTGCTGGGTTGGAAGAAGGAGGCCGCTCTGATGTTGGAGAATGGAGAAGAAGAATTAGGGTAAATGAAACCCGACAACAGCCTCTGCTTCTCACCCATTCCGCTCTGATTTTTTTTTTTTTTTAATTTAATCACCTTAAAACGGTGCCGTTTTGGCTTATTTTGGCCATTTCCGGGCTGCACTCAAAATCGTATAAAACCGGTTTAGAAACGTTTTTTTACGCTTTTACCGCTTTTACAACCGTTTTTTTGCGATTTTATATAAAATGCGATTTCACGTAGAAACTAAAGCGTATTTGTGGGTTCAAATGGTAAAAACGTACGTTTTTACGCTTTAAAGCGCGATTTTGACAGCATTGCTCATCTCATCTCGTCTTCCTCCCCTCCTCTGCCTCTACTGCGGAGATCTTGTCAACGAGCTTGCTAAATATCCCCAAGATGATGCTGAGCCCAATGACTTTGTTAAATCAAGGCCCGTTCTTCCACAATGACACCTCCTCGTCACTCTGCCCCTTCTATAATAACCCTAATACTAATACGGAAATTACATAATTTCTATGATTATGATAAGGAGTATAACTCTGCCCAATTACATACCAGTACTCGTATTATAACATAATACTACTAGCACTACACATACTCTAATAGTCTGCCTGGTCTCGTTTGCCAGCATAAGGTAAAAGATCGAAGGAAAAAATCGGGAGTAAAGGGTTATTGCTAGGTTGGGTTTATTTTTTATTTTTTGCTAGGTTGGGTATTGTGGCTGACAAGACGGTCAAACTGAATGACTCATCAATTTGTCAGTCAACTCAACAACTTCGTTTGCCACATCATCATAAATCTGACGGAGTTAAAGGATACTGACGGTCGGTGATTAATAGTGAAACAAAGGATGGTTGGGATAATAATTTATAAATTTTAAATTAATATTAATAAAATGAAAAAAAAATGAAATGAGTACTAAGAATAAATGATTTTCGTAAAGTTAGTAACAAATAAAAAGAAAATTAGTTCGGACGACAAACGTAGAAGATTATGTAATTTGAGTGACCAACGTGTAATTTAGCTGCTAGAAATTGTGAATTGTTTAATTGATTAAGCTGCCTGCGAGTCCCAAGGAATGGAAGCGAGGTCGTCTGGTAGGCCTTTGGACCGACTCACGTGCTTTGCCCACCCGCCCAAATTATCCTCTCTTTTTTCTTCTCCGGACAGTGAGTAATGGAATGATGGGTTGATGATGATGATGGACTCAATGAAATAGCAAAAGCATATCCACATGCTTCTCCCAACTTGCAACTTCTCCCCTGCCTTTCAGCTCCTGCATATCAGTTTCTATATATATAATAACAAGTGATCGCTGCAACTTGCAACTCATCCATCTATCCATCTCGATTCTTCCTTCCTCGGCCAGTTGAGGGGTGCAATTTTGTTTATTATCCACAGATTTTTGGTGTTGTTATATACTTTCATTTCCATGATGTATATGCTTGTTTCTCAAGTGTCAATATATGTTCTTTGTGCAAATTGCTTGGGTGAAGAAAAGGACAATCCAAAGGAAAACATCTCTTGTCACGTTAGGTGAAAAAAATATCTAAGACCAACTCATTTACGTTATTTTGTGCTCATTCACGTAATACTATGATGATTTACGTAAAAGTGTAAGTTTTTCACGTATATGGAAATTCACACTTTCACCTCTAATAATTTGCATTGGCTATATTTTATGGAATTAAATTTCGATTATCAATTAATTTGTAAAAATATGTTGTATTGATCATAATCTACACAATCACATTCATTTTAATATATTTTAAATTTTTATTTTACAACGGCGTGAATAATTAACAATATACGTGAATAATCAACACTCTCACATAAATAACACATATATGACGTGAATAACGCAAATATGACGTGAATAACGCAAATATGGTGTGAATAACTCAAATTTAGGTGTTTTGCCATCCAATGTGACAAGAGACTGCACTCCAATCCAAATTAATTAACCAACATGTTAATAGTTTGTGTAGGGTTATTATAAATAATTGTTACCGCGCGAGTGCATTCAAGACTTACGGATGGCTAGACGCTCCATCCAAATCGTAAAGGAGCAATTAGATTTGTATTCATATTTCATACTCTTTTGCTGTGCTTGAGAAACATTTAATAGTCTCTGTGCAATTTGATAATCCAGTTTGCATCAATTAAATATGATAACCAGAGAGAATCATGCTTGTTAAATGTGGTGATTAAACAAATAAATTATGAATTGTTTATATTATTACGTGTTATAAATGATGAAAATTATATAATATAGAGTAGAGATGTGTGTGCGGGGTATGCAGGCAGAGGGGTTATTGGTATCTAATTTGTGATTAGTATATGTTTATTTGGGGCCGTATTTTGCAGAATCTAATAAATATCAATCGATCACCTTCGTTTTCATCACGTCTCTCACGTAGTTCTCATTCTCCCCTTAAAAATTGTCACTTTTCTTCTCCTGGCCCAGAATGCATGGCTTTCCTCGCCCTATTTACAAGCAACCAGTTTCACGTTGATTGGTTTCCGCACATTTCCCACGCCGGCCGGCACCATATATACACCATAATACTAGAGATGTCAATTTCAATCCGTTCCGTCGGGTGTTAGAAAAGATTATTACCCGACTCGCAGTAGCATGCGGCGGGACATGGATATCAACTTCTGACTCATTCATCTCCGTTCTTGATCCATTCTATCACAAATTTTTATAATATATAATATTTTGACTTTTCTTCAACTAGCTTAGTTAGGCTTGAATCTTGATCTTGCAAATAGTTAATCTCAAATACCCTTTCTATTTTCACGATCTTCATTCACATTATGTTTTCCCTTCGTTTTATCATAAAAAGTGAAATTCATGCTAATGATCCAATCATCTAATGACAATGGATTGTGCCACCATACCCTGGTGGTCGGCGAAAAGAATCACCTACGGCCAACCAAATTGACACAATATACCCAAAGGAAAAATTCATATCCGCGCATATAATGTCTGACCTAAGCAAAAATAAATATACATTTCATAAATTCGAATGGCTTGCTTGACATCGGCATGAATAAATATCAATGTTGTAATTTGTTTAAGAACATAATCCCATAGAACCGGGACCGTGCTCTTGTGCGCAGGGCAAAAGTTGCAAGTTGTCTGTACTGCTTCGGGAATTGGAGGGCCGCCAATTTCAACGGGTAGATGTGTAGTGAGATCACATCGTCTTTAATTAACTTGTTAAATAGTAAAATAATAATAATAATAATAACCAAAATATACGCCTAAAATCGAAGATGCGGCCACCCAATTTGCAGGAAAAAGGATAAATGAAAAGCTAAGCAAAGCAAGTTGGGCAACAGAGCCACTAACTTTGGGGAAGGAGAGGGCAGGCAGGCGCTGAAGTTGATGCCAAATTGACGGAATTATTATTATTGTTAATATTGGGGAAAAGGAAAAAAGATCTGAATGGGTCGCCAAACTGTCAATTTCCAAGCTTAGGAATGAGATGAGATATTGAGATGACGATAAAAAGCCAAGCCAAATTGGATGCGAGCGAAATGAAAGAGAAAGGGAAAGGGAAAGGGATCTGTGTGTCAGCTTTCATGCGATTATTATAGTTATATAGAGCCCCCACCTGACCACTCAACGGCTCACATTCACTGAACCCGCCGGCGGCGGTTCCGCTACGCACGCAGACTGCGATCCCCGGCGGCGGCGACCCCTTCTTCGCCTAAGTAGCTAGACTCCTCCGTCCCCTACTTACTTAGCTTCTTCCATGGTCAATTTTGATCTATTATTTTATAATAATTGTAGCTATTAGCTAGGAATCATTTCAAAACAATAATTCACGATCCAAATTAGAGAGCGTCCAAGTTGGCCAACCAGCTCTATACAGCACATGTGGGAGGCTCCAAATTATGGTTTTTGTGTTATTGCAGTCCAACTTTTATTTTTATTTTCTTCATTAACACACTGGAATATGGTATGTTTTCTTTCACCACATGGAATCGGGTACAATCAAATACAATTGATTAATCGATGAAGCGCGACACATACGATCGATAAATTCAAATCCTGACGAAACGATGGGGGGACAGATGATGTGGGGGTGAAACTTTGCAGCAATTATTTGTGGTAACTTTCAAGGAGGAAAATGGATCCAAAAATTTTGTGGAACCTTTGTATGAATGGGATGGGAGGAAAAAACAATGAACGGAAGGCCACCAAAGTTGGCCAAATTGTGTGTTGCTCAGAATAGGCAAAAAAAACCACGGCTCTTGGCAGCGCAACAGTCGATTGATTCTTTTAAGTAAACCAGAAAAGAATCTATTCGCGGACCTTCCTCCATCCAGAGGTTTGATTTGCTAGTAAATGGGCCCACATGAGATTTCGTTGGGCCGTTGAGGTGGGTTGGATCCACCGATCATGGGCGCGTATTGCTGATTGTTGTTGATCAGGCAGCTACTATCCCTCCCTCGCCCTCCCATCGAATTAGTGGTTATTATAATAAGTAATTAATAATTAAATCGTGGGACGTCTTAACAAATGGGCTTGGTGTGGCAGTCAGTGATTGCGTGGGACATGATAAAGGGTGGAAGAACAGATTCGAGAAGTAACACGAGGTTGCTAACTGCGATTTTCTGTACTGTACATGTACATGTAGAGAGTAGGCGTGTATAAAAGGTGTGGTTACCGTAGTAACCATTTTAACCGGTAGTATTTGGTTAATCTGGATAATGGTTTGGGTTGGTTTAACATTTTAGCTTGTTTAATTTTGATGGTTTGGTTTGATTTCGGAGACTCCTAACCAATCAAACCAAATTAACCAATTAACTAATTAGCCATATATCTAATAAATGTTATATACACATACTTTAATACTTTGCATAACCACTTAAGAGTCAAACTTTCCTCCCTCTTAGGCTCATAAAAAATAAAGCTCGATATTTTTTTCTATATTGTATATTTGTATTTATAGAGTGTAGATCAAAACTTTATGGACGCCTAATTTAGATAAAACTAATAC